GATGGGTCTGAATTGACTCGATAGTACTGGTGGGTGCAGACAGGATGTCAGCTTGCCCATCACAACCCAGCCCCATCTCTGCTAGGGGCTTTCCCTGGGGCAGCACAGCTCTAACCCTGCTGCTCCTAAAAGCTGGCTCTGGGCAAAAATTCACCATTGCTGTGCCCATCAGGGCCCAGAGTCAAGGCCCTAGACCTCAGATCAGTAGACTCGGACTCCCACAGTACACCCAAGAGTCTTGAACTTGACTCATGCAGACAGGCAGGCCTCCCTTTATGAGCACTTTCACCTCCATCTGTAGTGGCAGATCTATGGAGTGGAATTCTGATCTCACCCTCTTGTGCTTCTAAACATGTTATAATACTAGTACACATCCCCCTCACTGTGCTAAGTGAAAGCACTTGTTGGCATTTTCTACACCTCTTTAAGTTCCAGGCCATAAAAACTATCAGGAGAAGACCCCTATCAAGTAAACCACGGAGCCAGCAAACTTGAGAGGTAGGTCCACTTTGGGCCATCCTCAGCTAAAGAATTCTGTGCCCCCCCAATTTCATAAAAGTTAACCAACCTCATCTAGTGAACTGCAGGCAAATACCTCCAGGGCCTGGTGCTTCTGGAAGTAGAATGCCCAGGGCAGCTCCTACGTAGCACTAGACCCAACCATGCCACCCATTCTTTGGGTCTTTTGGTGGATGCCCATCGGAGATACCACCTTGTGTGATACTTCTAGCTCCCCCTCCATTGTGAAGGGCAGCATCTTACAAGGAGATGACCAGGAGCCTGAGCTTTAGAGTCAGGCAGACCTGAGTTCAAATCCTGGCTTAGAAGACCCATGCCTTGGTCAAGTAACTTCACATCACTGAGCCTCAGTTTCCTCAAATTGGGGGTGTTACAATTGCTTCAAAAAAGTTTTAATGAAATAATGACTATAATGTCCTGGCGCATATGAGCCACTCAATAACTAGTGACTCCTTGGTCAGTGATGCACTCCAGTGAACTGTGAGTAGTTACATTGCCCTGCCAGGCCAGTACATCTGGAACGTAAGGAGAGACTGCTTCCAAGGTCAGACTGGCTGGAAGGTCCAGGTGTAAAGCTATTCATTGATTGATGTCATTTCTTCCAAACACTGTTAAATATGCAGCCATGGACCATCACAAAAGGAGGGAAAATAAGGATGGAAAAAAGGTAGCAGCCCTCAGAGCAGTGTTAACTGGACCCTTTTCATGGGGCTCTGTGCTCTTGAGACAAAAGGATGGAGTCCCTCTTTCTACTAAGACTAAAATTATTGACTCCTCAAAATAACATTATTCAGGAGTGCTTGATCACTGCTTCCCAGCTTCCTAGATCAGCAGCAGGGCCTCAGGACTTTATGAAATATATGCCCCAAGATCCTCATGCCCTCTCTGAAGAACTACTGGTAATTGTCAACATCCCATGATCAACACAAACCATCCTGGGGGACCAGCAAGAATGACTCATAAGAAGAAAGGTGGAGGAGAAGGGCCAAAGGACCCAGCTCTGAGAAAGGAGGTTCTGAATCCTGCTCACGTGGAAGGAAGGTCTGAGTGGGGATCTGGAACAGGTGAAGAGATGCCCTCTGAGACATCCACCAAACCATGAGGGATGCTGTTGCAGACAGGACCATGGTCAGGTGCTCCCTGAACCATAGTTCTTTGTGGGAGAGGAGTGATCCTGGAGGCAGCCTCTTGCAGACTTCCCAAGCAGCATCACTGCTTAAATGCTGGATCATATGGAGATACAGAGCTGTGATATATTCAACAGCTGTCAGCTACTACTGTTGAGAAAGTCACTCACTGCATGCTAACCTGCTTTCATGAAGTAAGAAAGGAAAGTGGCAATTTGGCCAATGGTTTGGGCATTGGATACACCAAAGCATTTCTCTCCTGTGCCACAGCTTATAATAGGTGAGGGATCAGCAAATGAACATCATCTGACACACTGGAGGGGTAGTGGGGAAAGGGCAAAGACTTGTCACAGTAGAGGACTTGGGGAGCTGAGCGCACATCATGGCACTTCATCACCAAAAGAGACGTAACTGGTGGGGCAGAATCCTGGAGCAGGGCACCCTTGATGACTCCTCCCAGCCCCAAACCTAGTCTACTGTCAAGGGGAACAATAGACTCAAGATGGTTATACAGAGCAATTTCTAGTTGAAGAATGGAGAATCAGGGAGCCACACAGCTGCTCCTCAGAGGACCCTGAGCTCACTCAAGATAGGACACCCTGACTGCATTTCTTCCACAGGTGTCTAAAGACACAGCAACCTAGGAATGGAGACAGAGAACAGAGGGAGTATTTGGAAAAGAAGTCTAATTTTATAAGCTGCATTACATTGTTTTTTGGCCAATGGGCAAGACAAGTTTTAGTTCAAACACAGACCATGCTACAGAGGTGGAGAGAAGTGAACACAGGAAATGACTCTTTTAAGAGAGGATCAAGAGAAGAGAAGGATAAAAGTTCCCCTTAAATGCATTAAGTTTGCACCTTCCCCTGGAAAGACTCACTGCAAGTGAAAGAAAAAGCCAAATGTTTGATCCACACAGAGAGCCTGAGTACCAACTCTTCTCTGCAGGTGACTGCAGCAGGTCCTGGTTGCTTACTGGAGAATGGCTGGAGCCTGCACAGGACTCTGCCCAGTGGATGTTGCAAACAAAGGGATCTGGTTATGTTTTGGTAAATAATGAAACTGTGCCTGTTCCTTCCCCACCCAGGCTCAGGCCCACATGATTTCTATGATTCTCTATGTGTACTTTTAACATGGTCCTTTTGTGAGATATGTGGGCAAAGTGACATTTCAGCTTCACATAGTGGTAAATGGGCTTATCCAGTCTTTCATTCATTCCCTGGATCCTAGTAAATGGGTAAATATTCAATAATAAATTGAGGAAACCATTAACCTGGAGACCTGGGGCTCACAGGAGGCTGAAGAAATGTTGTGATCCCTGGTCTGGCCATTCTAGATGTGATCCAGACGTGCTTGCACCATGACTGAATTGAGAGTTGGGTGAGGGGTATTTCACTTGGCAGGGCTTCCCGAGCTAAGGACCACATAGACTGTAATGCTTTTGCCTCCTTTGGTAGCATTTACTATTTTCAGCATGTTGCTAAAATGCCACCTTTTCCCTCTGAAGCAGGGGACGTCTCTATGCCACCCTGGGGCCTAATTGGCGGGTTCCAGTTCGGAATTCTCCCAGAACTCGGAGCTGCGTTTACAGGTATGCATTCATTTACCCAGCAAGCAGTTATAGGATGCTTGTTGCATGCCAGACCTGTGTTCGAGGTGGCCCAGTGCAGTTTCTGCTTCGATGAGGCTACTTCTCCAGGAGAGACAGGAACAAAGCAAATAACCACACAAATACTAACTACCAGAAAGGAGATATGCGGTTCCCCAGGAGAGAGCAGTTATGTGTTATGTGTAATCGGGTCACCTATGACCCATAGCGATCCTATGTACAGCAGTTCTGAAGCCTGCCCTGTCCTGAGCCAGTCTCACTGATTCCGACACACCAGCTGCTATTGTCCCAGTTATACTATCAATCCTTCTCATCCAGGATCTTCCTCTCCTGCACTGTCCTTCCACCCTTCTGAGCATGGGTGTCTCCAAGGACTAGTTCCTCCTGGCCACATGCCCAAAGTATGTGAGACAGAGCTTCAAAATCCTTGCCTCCAGGGAGAAACTTGGTTTTACCCTCTCCAAGACAGACATACTTGTTTTCTTGGCAGTTGATGGTATGTTCAAGACTCTTCTCCAGCACAACAACTCAGAAGCATCAATTATTCTTCTGTCATCCTTAGTCATTGCCAAGCTCTCTGATGCAAAGCAAATAATTGCAAAGACCATGGCCTGGATTAGGGTGCACCTTAATCTCTAGACTGACATCATTGCTTTTTAATATTCTGGAGAGGTCCTGACAGTCAATTTTCCTGATGCAGTTTGTCTCTTGATTTACTGACTGCTGGTGCCAAGAGTGTTGATTGTGGAACTGAGCAAGCTGTAATTGTTAACAACCTCAATATCTTCCATCCTTGACCTTCTGCGGCAAGTGCTTCAGGTTCTCTTCATTTTCAGCAAGCAGGATTCTGTCATCTGCATAACATAGGTTGTTGACGAGTCTTCCTCCAATCCTTATGCCACATTTCTCCTCATAAAGCCCAGCCTCCTGAATGAAATGTTCTGTAAATAGGGAAAGCCTTCCTCACCTCCCTTGAAGGCAACTTGGAAAAGTTACAAGAATAACCAAATAATGGCTGGAGAAAAGTGGGACTGATAAGAATTCTTCTAGGCAAAAGAACAGCCTCTAGGGGCTCAGTATAAAAACAGGATGAGTTGATGAGTAAAGTCGATGTTGCAAGAAATGAGAAAGAAGAGATAGGTTCAGGAGAGGGCAGAGAGGTGAGCTGAAACTACACCCAAAAACAGTAGGAAGCCAATGGAGGGGGCTCACATGGGGGCTCCAAGAGGAGAAGGAAAAGAGGTGGCACAACTGAGTTATCCAGGCCATAGTGAGAGTGGATTCAGGAGTGCAAGAAGGGGCATGGCAGTCCTTCAAAGGGAAGATCCATTTTGGCCCAAGGTGAGGGTATTGGGATGGTCAAGACAGAGAATCGAGACATGTGTAGACTGTCAGGGCATGTTTAAAATACTTGAGATTGACTACGTTGTGAATGGTAGGAAAGAAATTAAAACCCCCAGGTTACAGGCTCAGGTAGAGGTGGAGGGAGGAAGAGCAGGCTTCAAGGAAAGAGCTGAATAGAAGTATGTGGGCACCATCCATGGTGCAGGAGCTTGTGTAGATCTGCAGCTTATGAGAGGGAGCAGGGCAGGCAAGCAGATTCCCAGAGGAGAGGGCAAGAAAAGAGCTGCAGCTGTGAAGGTGGCTGCTGGGCATAGTGGTGTGCCGTGCCCAGAACCTGGAGACTGAGAAGGTGTATAAGGTCAGCTACTCTCAGTGATGCCTGACTGATGGTCTCCCCGCAGTCCCACCGGCCCGTGCATCTGTACTCTGGGCAGTTCGGCAGCAGTGCCCACCATGGAGGGGCCTCTGAGAAGGAAAACCCTGCTCAAGGAGGGACGGAAGCCCGCGGTAAGCACGGGTGCACGTGTGCAGAGGGAGCACAAGCAGTGATGAGGAGGCCTGAGCTTCAGGGACCAGTCAGCCAGTCAGAGTTCTGGCCTTGGCTCTGCCACTGCGGGGGGCAGGGGGCGGGGAGGCATCTCATTTCCATTTCTGTAAATAATTTCACGTGCTTGGTGGCAGACCATGCATGATGGGCATGCAGGGAACAGAAGCTGTAATAGTTACATTAATTCTGTTGGAGTCTGGAGACACATGGGAGTTAGTGTGACTACATCTCCCCGAAAGTGTCATCAGCACAACCCCAGACACCTGAATGGCCCAAAATACGCCCAGTGCTTCATGGCATTTCCAGCTGTAGATTCTCTTCCTTCCTCTCAAGTGAGTATCCTAAAGTGAGTGGTGGAAGGATGGAGACAAAGAGTCGGGAGGCCTTTCTGGCTCCACCAGCAGGCCCCCAGCCCAGTCCAATGTAGGACACAATGTCACTGGCTCCATGAAGTCACCATGACAGTGTCTTAGCCCATTACAAAGCGGTCTCATGGCAAGTGACTAACATACTACCTACTGAGTTGGATCTACAGGCAGCATCTCCTCTCTCCAGCCCCTCCTTCTGCTTCTGCCCCTGCCCACAGAGGCAATTGGAGATAGTCACTCCTAATTAGTCCCACTAATGATGCCAGGGCCCTTGCCTAGGTGCCATCTCTGGATGCTCTTGAAGCCAGATGTGATGGCTCTGAGATGAGGAATATCACCCCAGCTCAGGATACTCTATCACTTGGGCCCAGATTGTCACAACGCATTCTTTAATGTGGGGCCTTGAATCTGGCTTGCTGCCCTGATGAAAAGATCTGATTGCCTCTCTTCATTTCCCAGAGTCTATGCCCAGTCATCACATGGCCAGAAAGAAATCATTTTCTTAAAGCTTTGTCTTCCTAACTGTTGGTTGACTCAAAAGCTAGTGGTGAAACTTATTCAGTGGGTCATAACCAATATTTCTTAATTGATAAAAGCAAAATGGAAAAGAACTGTGGAGTTAATTATACATGTTTAAAACAATCTAAATCTATTGCTGTGAGTTGATTTTAACCCAGAGCAATGCCATATGTATTTATACATGCACAGAGAAATTATACTGTTTCATGATATTTTTTTTTACTTTTACATACATACACACAGGGAGCTCTGGCAGTGTAATTCGTAGCATGTTGCACTACTAGTCCAATGGCTGCATGTCCAACAGTTTGAATCTACAGGCAAAAGATGAGCCCTTTCTTCCCATTAAGACAGCCTCAGACACCCCATGGAGGGTCCCTGTGAGTTGGATTCAGTTCTATGGCCATGAGGTTTTGAGCCATATATACACATATGTGTACAGAGTTGTGACATGAAGTGCATTTCTACCTGTGGATATCAGTCAACAATATCTTCCTACCACTGCTTCACCATCTGCAGGCATTACCATGCAACCCAGCATGAAGACAGCCTGTGTGTTGTGATGCACAGCTGTCTGCTCCTTATAAATTCAGTTGTTTCCTCCCAGGATGAGATATTTGCATCACATTTGCAGACCCAAAATGCCCATGGAGATGATTTACCCCAAACCAAGGAACAGAGAGCCTTCAAAGAGGGGATTCCAGCTTTCACCTCTAGAACGACAGGAACAATCCCTGCAGCTTTGCTCTTTGGGTGTTTCCCACCTTTAAAGACTTTGCAAATGCCCATCTTCAGTCTCCGTCAGAACATCTCACTGCAGGCATTTCAGTTCTTCAGCATGCCCTGATGCCACCTTAAACAAGGTGGAAATATAGAGGTCTCTGCGAGGTTTCCTGTGGTCATTTCCTCTAAGTAGAAGTTAGGGCTGAAAGGCTGATGAGCTCAGAGGGACCCATGAAAAGAAGTTTCTTCTTTAGGTCCTGGAAGAGAATGGCATCCAGAAGGGGTGGTTGAGGGCCAGGGAAGAGATGAGGTCTGCACTGCCATGAGTGAGGGCTGGGCACCCTTCTGCCCACATGTCTGGATCAGTAACCAGGCAGCCAGGGGCATCCGCCCCCTCCACTTGCACCCTTGTTATTCTACTCCCGTTTCCTCTGTAGCTATCTTCGTGGACCAGGTACTGGGTCATACTCTCAGGATCCACCCTCCTGTACTACGGAGCCAAGTCCTTGCGGGGCACAGACAGAAAACACGTAAGTCCTGGGTCTAAAGGGGGTCTCGAGGAGCTTCAGGAAGTGGGATGAGGTCAAGTGTGGGAGGAAAGTCTTGCCTGGCCCCAGTCTGCTTCCTGGAGAGGGCAGTGCAGAAAGGGTGTGAGCTTTGGCCTTCTGGATGTGTGGTTGCTCTCTTTTAGTATAAATCCACTCCTGGCAAAAAAGTCTCCATTACGGGCTGGATGGTGCAGCTGCCTGATGACCCCGAGCACCCTGATATCTTCCAGCTGAATAACCCTGACAAAGGTAGGCAGTGTGCTGGCACCTGTAAACTTTCTCAGCTCTTTTTCCTCTTCTGCTAAATATGCTTCCTGAAATGTTGGGAATTTTATAGGTGGCTGTGTTCCCTTTGCTTCTAGTTCTGATGTTCTCAGTGTCCCTTACTCCACAAAGGCTGCTAATGGTCAGTGTGTCCAGTGTGCGAGGTCTGTGGCATGTGGCTGCAAGAGTCCTTTTGGTGGCCTTGCTCCCAGAGCCTACCACTCCTGGGCTTGTAGCCGCAAGACCTTGGGGTAAATTTACGTTAGTGATGCAGTGACTGCATGACTACATGTGGCCTGGGAGATTTTAGAAACCTCAGATGCTGCCTGTGCTATGAGCCTCTGGCAGTATTCTTGTCAAAGGCCGAGCCAAGGAAAAAAAACAAAAACCCAAAAACAAAAAAACCCTTTCACAAAGGCTTTATGAGCTCTGATATGGCAGTAATTTCCCTCAGCTCTCTTCCCCTTCCTCCTGCTGTCATCTTTCCCCATGACCTTGCTAAGAAGGAGGAGGTAGTTCTGGGCATCATTTTGTCCAGGAGCTTTAATCTGCATTAATATTCAGACTAGGCCATGGCTAGACTTCTCAGTAAGCCCATAACATATTTAAAACAAACAGCGTGGTTGCCATCCAAGCAGATATATGCACACCCATGTTTATTGCAGCTTTGTTTACAATAGCAAAGAGTTGAAAGCAGCCTAAGGGCCCATCAACCAACGAATGGATAGAGAAGCTGTGGTACATCCACACAATGGAATACTACACAGCATTGAAAAATAAGGAACTCATGCAATATTATTCAAAGTGGGTGACCCTGGAGGACATTATGCTGAGTGAGATATCTCAGTCACAGGGGGACAAATACTGCATGGTGCCACTGTTGTAGAATGGGTCTGACATCAGGGTGGGGGTATGACAGAAAAAAACTGGATAAATTATGTATATTGTATTGAAACAGGTGAGGGAAAGAATAGATTAGAAGTGATATAAGATTGAGTATTATGGTTAGCACAGGAATCCAGAATTAAGGTTGCATAGAGAAGTGTACTCGGGGTGGGGGGTGGGGGGAAGGGACGTGGGAATTGTATACTAATGAAGGAATTTTTTTCTTTTTCTCTCTCTTCGGAGGGGGAAGCGAGCTGGTGGGGAGGGGTGGGCAGGGAGAAAATTGCAGCAATGAATGAATGGAAATCCAAAACCTTTGTAAAAAAAACAAAACAAAACAAACAACGTGGTTTCAACCTTTGGTTCCAGCCAGGTAATTTGCTGAGGCTCTCCCCACTCATCTCCGTACTTTAACAGGAACATTCTAACATAAGGTTCATGTATATACAGATAATTTAAGGATCTTGTTAAAATACAGATTTGGATTCAATAAATCTACAGCAGGATCAAGAGGCTGCATTTCTCACATGTTCTCAGGTGATCCAGATGATGGCTGCTGATCAAGAGACCACACTTTGAGTGTCAAAGCTCTAATGTTCTTAGTTGCAAAAGGAAAACAACGATTCCAGTTTGCCTTAAAAAGCCCAGGGAATGGGGAAGAGAGAGAGAAGCCTCCACTCAGAGTCTGAGTGCTTGAACCCACTTGTCAGTAGAGTGGACTATGATTTTTGTTTATTCTTTGGCACTGTGGGCCAAAATTAGAGGTGATTTCTTTAGAAAATAAAGGTTTTGCTTACATGAGCTTGCTCTGGTGGCTAGTGGCAAGAAGTTGCACTGCAGTCCTAATCCCCAAAGGCATGTGGTTCAAACCCAACAGCTTCTCCATAGAAGAAGGATGGACCATCTTCTCTCGTGCAATTTACTTCCTCTGAAAACCCACTGGAGGGTTAGTTACAAGTTGGTTCTCACTCGGTAGCACACAACATAATCATAGAAACCACACAGTATTTTGGGGCTTTCATGCAAAGGAAAACACTGTCCCTAAGCAGAGGGAAATGTGATACAGGGGGCAAGTAGAATCCATGGATTGAGGGTCAAAAAGTCCATAAACTTGAATGGGGAAATGACTGCTTGGTTTTCAGTAGCCTCTAATTCCTTTGACAAATTGCATTGGGGAAGTCTGCTGTCAGGGACCTCTCCGGAGTGCTGATGAGCAATGATGTCAGTCTAGAGATTAAGGTGTGCCTGATCCAGGCCATGGTCTTCACAGTTACTTGTTTTACATCAAAGAGCTGGACAATGACAAAGGATGACAGAAAAAGAATTGATGCCTTTGAGTTGTGGTGCTAGAGAAGAGCCTTGAACATACCAGAGACCACCAAGAGAACAAATAAATCTATCTTGGAGTGAATCCAAGTTTCTCCTTGGAGGCAAAGATTTTGAAGCTCTGTCTCACATAACTTTGGGCATGTTGCCAGGAGGGACCAGTCCTTGGAGAAGGACATCATGCTTGGAAGGGTGGAGGGACGGCACAAAAGAGTAAGACCCCAGATGAGATGGATTGACACAGTAACTGCGACAGTGGCGTTTCGTGTGTTGGAGTCAGTGAGACTGGCTCCGGATAGGGCTGGGTTCAGAACTGTTGTACACAGGGTCACTATGGGTCATGGGTGATTCAATGGCTCATAACAACAACAACAACTAACACCTTCAGTCATTGTTGTAGGCATCAAACTTATAAAAACTTTAGCAGTGTCTGATTTTAATTTCCAAGAGAAATCACAGATGTTCTCATACCACATGTTACAGGAATTTCAGAAAGTCATCTATGCACATCACTTCAAAATTACAGTATAGTAGCAGACCTGCCACTAGATCTAATTAGTATTGTTGTTGTGTGCCTTCTAGCCAGAAAGGACCCATTCCTGACCCTCCAGTGAGTTTTCAGAGGCTGTTAATTGCTTTAGAGAAGACTGCCCATCATTCTCCCATAAAGTGGCTGATGGATTTGAACCACATACTTTTGGGATTGCAGTGCAGTTTCTTCCCACTAGGCCACTGCAGCACATATCATTATGTAATTAGTTTGGATTTTAATAATCTTATAACTATATTTCAGTATTATTATTATTAATTTCTTTTAAAAACATGATTCTGAAAGGGCGCCCACAGGTTTTGTCAAACTGTCAGATGTAGCCCTAGCCTCCAAAATAGCTGAGGGCTCCTGATCTCAAGAGGAAGCCCCTAGAGGGCAGGAAGCTGCCTCCTCCACAAGCCATGAGCTTGCCTTGGGCTGCTCTGATCTTCTGTATCTACCTATATTCATATTTTCCATAGCCCAGTCACAGGCTGATTCTCTCATGTGACACTCTTAACTAATTTTTTTTTTTTTTTTTACCTATCAGGCAATGTTTACAAGTTTCAGACTGGTTCCCGGTTTCATGCAATACTGTGGCACAAGCATTTGGATGACGCATGTAAAAGCAACAGGCCTCAGGTAAAGACACCAAAATTTTGCTTCTCACTTGAAATACCTTCTCCTACCCTTGGGACCTGAGCATGGTGGAAGTTCTGAGGATGACGCAAGACAGTGTGAGGTTTCTTTCTTGGTCATAGGGATCCTGACATCACGATGAGTCGTCGTCAACTTAATGGCGTCTATCACCAACAGCCACCACCATCCTTGGGACTAAAATAAGCAGGGATCCCTGATTCCCCCCTCACGACTCAACAGCTGTTGTCCCAGTTACCCTTTTTATCAGCCTTTTCCCATGAGACAAGTATCCCTTCCTCAGCTTAGAACTAAGCCCAGTTTCAGACCAGAACTTTTAATTTGGCATCTGTGTTTTTCCCACTAAATGAAACAACGCAGAACTATGCATTGTGGGACAGTTAGGCAGGTCTGATACCACCCCAGGGAGTAGGCTGCAGTGTTTATTTAGCTCATCCCTCCTAGATTTGATTTCATGGGAATATTCCAAACTGACCAAAGAGCCTTGTGGCTCATGTAAGTCTTAGAAACAATAGTAATAGCTAATTTATTGAGACTCAACCATGTGTCCGGTAAGGCTGCTAATGAATGCAGGGAGTTTCAGGTTTCTCAGGTGTTTGAACCAGTAAGATTTATACTGATATGGCCCCCTCTGGGCCTGGATCATTGTAGTCTCCCTGCCCCAACCACTCCTTCCCACTCCCTCTTTCTTAGCATTATGCTAAATGCTTTGCATGAAGGAATAAGCTATATCATCATAACATCCCTATGAAGTAAGTCTTACTTTCACCGCTTGACATTGAGGACCCTGAGGCTCAGAAAGTGGTGGACATTTATAGCTCCATCTCACATACTTTGGGCATGTGAACAGGAGGGACCAGTCACAGGAGAGGAAAACCCCAGACGAGATGGATTGATACAGTAACAGGGGCATTGGGGCTAGGTGTGTTGGAATCAGTGAGATTGGCGCAGGACAAGTCAGGCTTCAGAGCTGCTGTACATAGGGTCACCATGGGTCACAGGCAACTTGATGGCACATAACAATGACAACAGAGTTAGTGTCTTAGTTATCTAGTTTCTAAGTAAGTTACTTGTGACATACAGAACTACCACAAACAGAAATGTTATCTTACAGTTTAGGAAGCTGGAAGTCCAAATTCACTGCCATCACTGTCTGTATTGGTTCTGGAGGGAAGTCCTTGTTTCTTTCAACTTCTATAGACCCAGCATGTGTTCTCACCCTCCCCAGTGCCAAGGAACTTTACAGCAAAGAGACGCAGTTACAAAAGGATGAGCTCCACTCTTCATGTTCTTTCTTGGTGGCAGTGAAGTCTCTCCCTCAGCTTGAGCTCTTCCCCTTTTATCTCTTATGAAGTAAAAGGTATCTCAGGCCATGGCCTAGGAACACTCCCCTTACATAAGATCAGGGTTGGGATGGGTTTAAGGGGTATTGTATTCCATCCTCCATCCCTCGGTCCTCTTACAATGACTTGATTAGCCCGTGGGGATGATTGCATAGCTTCCACATTATATCATTACATAACTATATTTTCTAACTTAAATTCAGTGCCATCAAGTCAGAGCTGAGTCATAACTGACCCTCCACTGGGTTTCTGAGACTGTAAATCATACAGGGAAGAGATTGCCCATTTTTGCCTGTGGAGCCACTGGTGGATTGGAATTTCCAGAGGGCACAGCCTGTGCAGTAGCAGCACCACTCCCTGCAGACTCATGTTGTTCTGCATCATTGAGTCAGAATGGACCCGCAGCTGACCCTACAGTGGACTTTCAAAAGCAGTAAATTGCACAAGAGGAGGTCGCCTATCTTCCTCCCAAGGCTGCACAATTAAATCTATGTTAGCGAATCTCTAACCCAGGTCTGCTTAACTCCTGATTCTGTATTTGTTACCACTGAGCTCTTTCACCTCCGTTTTGTTCTTTGAAAACCCTGGAGCTTTCTCAGGCTTCTGCTGTTGGGCTATCAGCCTAGCATCACAGTCATGGCTGTCCAGACGTGTGAGAAATGGCTTTCTACCCTCCGCACAGAAGGGCACAGACTGGACCTGCATGCTCCCCCTCGTAGGCAAGTGGGCAGCATTTGAGCTACTGGTGCTGGTTCTGGTCCTCTGTCCCTGTATTCCGTGTCCATGTTCCACAGGGACCAGCCAGAGATGCATGGGGAAGTTGGGTCCCCCTTAATCAGACTGAGAGAAGCACAAGTTGTTGTTGTTATGTGCCCTCGAGTGAACTTTGACTCATAGCGACCCCAGCACCATACCTCTGAACCCTGGCCTATCCTGAGCGAGCCAGTCTTACTATCTCTGACACACTTACTCCTATTACTCTAGTTATTGTGTCAGTCCATTCTATTCAGGTCTTCCTCTCCTACGCTGTCTCTCAATGACCCACCCAAGCGTGATATCCTTTTCCAAAGACTGGTCCCTCCTGGCTACATGCCCAAAGTATGTGAGATGGAGTCTCAAAATTCTTGCATCCAAGGAGCATCCATGTCACCTTCTCCAGGACAAACCTGTTAGTTCTCTTAGCAGTCCATTGTATGTTCAATATGCTTCTCCAGGACCACAACTCAAAGGCATCAGTTCTTCAGACCATCCTTGACAGTGACTATCCTTGGTCATTGTCCTGCTCTCTAATACATAGAAAGTAATTGCAAAGACTATGGCCTGAGTCAGGTGCACCTTGGTCTCTAGACTGACATCTCTGGTCTTCAGCACTCAGGAGAGGTCCCTGACAGCAAAGTTTCCTATTGCACAAGGGAAGCACACCAACAGGAGTAAATGTGGCAGCTTCAGGTGGCAGTTGAAAGTATGAGTCATCTTAATGCAGGCAGCTACTCTGAGGGCTAGGGGAACCTCAGCAAAGGCAAGTTCACACTAGCATTTGGATGTGTACGTATAGGGTTTCCAATAGTGCAAGTAATGGCACAATCAAAGAAGTTACTGCCTCTCAAACAGGTTCTTGTGTACTAGAGGGAGGTCTCTAGTGGCACATCCCAAGACCGTGGCCTTAGCGTAGTTCTGTTCAGGCTTTCCATCTGTAACACGAGTGATGACATACATGACAAGCTGATCAAAATTTTAGAGGGTAAGAAGCTAGGAAATAGAAATAACAGATTAAAAGACAAAATCAGGATCCAGAAAATCCTCAACAAGTTAGAATAGGACAAGACAAACATAGGGATAAACTTGAAGCACCACAAGGAAGCTCAAAATAAGTTATAAGTGAGTCCCTTGGAGACTCAAGGGCTATACTTGAGCACATACAAAGGATACATATTTAAGAATGTTCAGGGTACCATCATTATTCATAAAAATAAGCCTAGAAACCACTTCAATGATCATCAATGGATCCCACAGCTGTATATGATTTCAGGAACTAAAGAAAGCTCTTATTTGTATTAAAATGCATATCCATATTTAATGTATTTAAATTTACATTGTTGTTGTTATGTGCTGTCGAGTCACTTGCGACTCATAGCGACCCTATGTACAACATATGTATATGTAAATTTACATATACATATAAAATTTCTAAAATTTAAATCTAAGAAAACATATACTTTTATAAGAAACTATACTTCTGTAGTTACCAGAGTGCATATTTTTTATATTAAACAAATACAATTGCCTGCCTACATGATGGGAAGACTACAGGTTTTGGTCAGTATTCATTTCCAGTTGATCCAAAGTGAACAAAATACTGAGGCTTGAATGAGGCTGGTGCCACTTCAGGGTGTGTTAACAGAGGACCAGTGTCCTACCCTCTACACTGCTCACACTAAGGCCGGGCCCCTTGTTAGCTCTGAGTGACTGTAAGAGCACAGCTCAGCACACTGGAGCTTATGAACTCTGTGATGGCCCTCGTGGCCTGTGCACTGGAGGCCATGTGGCTTCGAGTCTGACAGGGACTTACAGCCATGAGGTGGTGGAGTTAGGGGACAGCTGTGTGGTACTGCTTACAGTTGTCCTATGGAAGAGCCACTGCTCTTTACCACAGGGGAGAGAGGCAGGGCCTGGATTCATAACCTTGCATCTGAGTGGGTCCCTGCAAGGAGCAGGGATGGAAGCCCCGGCAGGAGCCCACTGTGTCTCTGGCAGCAGTTCTACAACAGATAGCAAGTGACTAGGTTAAACCAGTTTGGCAGAGCACCCGGTATTTGATCTGGATAATTGAATTGAATTTCATGAATTGGCAAATGCAAGACCAAGAAAAGTTTTCCAACTTTTAAGTGGGGTTATTTTTTTTTTCAATTTTAGACCCAAGGAAAGGGAATATTTTAGTTTTTCTAATTTTTGTGTTTCTAGTTTACCACATATTCCCATTATATGCTATATGCAATGATGAAACATTGACAAAATCTAAATATTCTCTAGTAGAGTCTTTCAGTATATCACAGAATATTTTATAATAGGATCCAAGGCAGGTATAATAAAGGGAATTACAGATATGCATCTATTCACATGAAAAATATTGACTAAGAAGATTCATTCTATTTTAATATTTAAAAATTTTTTTATTAACCCTGTATTGATGAAAGCATTATTCCTAATGTATAAGATAGAAACAGTACCAAGAAAACAAATACTCAAGTGCCCACCTCCCAGCCTAAGCAGAAGCTCCCAAGGGCCTCCTCTAGGTCCCCCAAATGCACTGAGTTGTTTCTAACAGTCACCCTTCTAGGACGGAGTAGAACTTCCCTGACAGGGTTCCAAGGCTGTAAATCTACATGGGAGCAAAGATTAGCAGCTGAATACAACCGCTATCTCCCAGCTCTCCTTTCTCCCCCAGGTAACCTTCCCACCCCTGCCTCCCCCACGAACCACCCTCTGGATTTGTTTGTTTGCTACTCTTACTTTCCTTTATTATTTCAGCATGTATATTTAATGACTTAAACAATTGCCAGGTGCATTTTATTTTTTATTTTATATTGGTTTGCTTACAAAGTTCATATACATTGTGTTTCACACTATTCTTCATATTGTGTTTCATATAATCATTCTTATGCATTCTGCTTTATAAAATCAATCACCATTGGACCTTGCCCATCATTACCCAGTCTTTTCAGGTCCCCTCTGGATCCTTTTTTTTTTTTTTTTTACAAATAGAACCATAACTCTGTATTATCTTCTGTGACCTTCTTTTCTCCTGAAATGTATTCCTAAGGCTCGGCTGTGTTAATTCATGTAGCAGGCATTCATTTATTTGCCCTGTTTTTATTTTGTTTCCCTATCAGTTCTTCTATCGGTGAAGCCAAGAATGGTTTTCTGCTTTTTTGTCATTTTGAACATTACTGCTGTGCCCTTCCTTATATGTCTCCAAACAAAGAGAAAGATTTTTACAATTCATCATTTTAACCAAATTGATGCCAAGATGGATTTGTTTTCTTATTAAATTACTTCTGACCAAATATCCTGAATCCTAGGGCATACTGGGCAAGAGTCCCAAGGCTGGGAATGTGTTGGTAGTTCGGAAGGGAGAGGGAAGCAGGTGGAGCTTAGGACTGGTGTCTTACCCTCCTCCTGTAAACGGGTCTGGGGGCTGCAGAGCTATGGGAAGGCCTTCGAGTTCCTGATAATCCAGCACTTAGTCCTCCTGTGCTCCCACTGTCAGTTCCCGCCATCCTTTAACTCTCAGGCATTTCCGGTTGGTTCCTCCCCCAGAGGCACATGCCTTGTTTCTTTGTATTTTGTCTCTGTCTTACCTCAAGTCCAGATTGGTTTTGACCAAAGGGTAATAATAGTTAAGAATGTGTATGTACTCTGGTGTCACTTGCTGTGCACGTAACCTAAGCCTCAGTTTCCTCATCTTTATAACAGAGATCATTCCAATAATGCCTCAGGGGGTTGTTATGACTCAAGGACACTGTGCATACAAGGTGCTCAGAACTGTGCCTGTCACACAGTGATCATTAAACAAATGGTTTTGATGACCATTAGGATTCTCATACCCCTTCTCCACCTGAAAGGCTCATCCTCAGACTGAGAAAGGTCTGGCCCCTTCGCTTAGGTGCTTCCCCTAAGGAAAGGTAGAACTTTGACGGAGGCTGAGCCTTTTTTTTTCCTTAGGTACCTGCAAACCTTATGTCATTTGAATAAGTCTCCGCGGGACTTGGCATGACGTCAGAGGCTTCTGGAGTCCCAGTCTGGGCCTGGTGAAGAACAAGCCCTGGGCACAGGCTGTTGGCCAAGCTGCTGGGAAAGTCACAGCTGCTCAGACTTAAGGGGACGCGGCCTGTGGCCTCACAGTCCCAGAGGACTCCGCTGGTGTGGGATCCACCTTCCGGCCCCAGTGACTCTCATGATCCTCATTCTGCAGCGCCCCCTCTGGGGCAGTGGTTGGACCCCAAACCATACACCACCCCCACCCTCTGGGCCCTCCTCTATGAGCTGCTTCTAAGACTAGAGAGCATTTAGCCCATGTTGGGTCCCCAGTGCTCTCTACTGCACAAAGGAGTGGACAGTGGTGACCTGCATGAAGGGCCAGGGAGAAGGACCAGACTGTGGACCAGGCTGTGGAACAGGCTTTTTACACCCCAAGTGCACGGGGTCGCTTACCCACAGGGCTGCCTCAGATTTTGTACAACCTCCGAAGCGTCCTCTGCGTGTGCGTGCTGTATACGTGTGAGTGCGAGCGAGTGTGAGCTCTTTGAGAAACATGCATTTTGGCACAAGACTTGTGACATCACACACTTCATACTCATTGAGGCCCTGCTTTCACCTTAAGTTCTAGCCTTGTCCACAAGGAAGGTCAGAGCGAGAGCCCAGATCATTTCTATGTTAAGGATCCCTTGTGTTCTTTTACTGTAAACAAACAATGCCTTAAATTGTGTCTTGTTTTCTGTTCCTATGGGTGCTATTCATCTGGAAGGCCTACTCCCTGGGCCCTCTGGGTCCCTTCTCGGCCTTGTCACTGTCAGCCCTTTCAAGGCCGGGCCCAGTTTCAGGACTGTGGACTGCGCCCTAGCCTGCTAGTTTCCTCCCATCTCCTTGCCCTGGCAAGGAGGCCCTTCTCTTCCCACCCCCTTCCATCAAGCTAAACCAGGAAGTTGTGAATTTTCTCCAGCTCCATCTGAAGCAGCTGATAGGCTGCCAGGCTCACCATAAATGGCTACACAGAAGCTACTTTGCATCAACTAGTCCTTGCAGGGCCAGATTTCTGTTCCCTTCATCTCACCCATTTGCCTCCACTGCCAGGGCAGGCCCCACTGGGAGTCCTAAGAATGCTGAGGAGCTGAGTGACACTGAAGCCTTAAGCTCCTCCAGTCTTGCCCCCACATGCCCCAAGCACAGTTACCAGCAAGTTCTCCATCGTCCAAGTCTGTGGGCACAATGGCTAATAACCATGGTAACAGGATAGCAAGCCCTGGGGAGTGAATGGTCTAAACTCTACATTCAGTTAAAAGCTCTCCACATGAACAATGACATTTAACTCTCTTGTCATAATGTACAGTGACTTTTATTTTACAAAGATATATTTTTATTCATAATGATAATTTACTCTATCACCATGGCTCTTCTCTCTTTTTTAATTTGGCTGACCTGATTCTGCAAAAGGAAACTGTTAAATATTTTCGGAAATAAACGAACTTTCTGTGGGGTCCTTATACTTATCATGGTTCAGAGCTCACACTGACTGGGCATCAGACTATCTTTAAGAATTTTTTTAATAAGATGCTTCAGAACAACACCTAAACCAGTAAACTCATAATACGTCAGTTGGAAAACTGCCAAAGAACTGTCCACTGTATTTTGATCAAATGATGACAATGTTTATTAACACGTGAGTGAATGGGAAAGGTTCTAAAATAGTTGTTACCAGGGTGTTATTTTGTGAGTAAACCTTACTGTGCTAAAGAACTCTGCTTTTGAGCAAAGTTTCAAGTTCTAGGAAAAAAGTCAGATGGTAAAGTTGATACCATGAAACCTTAGCCCTGGGAAGGGGTCAGACGGTGTGTGTGCAGTTAATTTATATCAATGACTTGTTAAGATGAGCAACTGGAAATGAAACAAAAATGCCAAACACTTTTGACCAGAACCATGCAGTGTTAATGTTTTAGCCTCCATTGAGTCTAATTCTATCTATAAACTTTTAAGTCTTAAGATGAAAAGACAAGAGTGGAAATATCCACTATGTATTTTCCTTGGATTTCTCTACTTTTCAAACTGCCCTGATTTCTCGCTCATGAAATATTATGGATGCCAATTCAGAAGAATTCTGGGCTCTACTAAATAAGCTCATTCCTTTATAAATGTTTCTTATCTTTTCAGAATGTTTTCTTCTAAGCCTATTCAGAATAGCACAATTGCACTTCTTTTCAGTGTTTAGTCTTCCCAGACTGGATCCCACATCCCCTCCCAGAAACATTCTTAGGTTGAAGTCTTCTTAAAGACTGTTTACAACTGTTGGGAAAGGCCATGGGGAACTCGACAAGTTGAACATACCACAAGAGCCCTAAAGATGAAGCTGAAATGTGTTCACCTCTCCAAGGAGGGGCTCAGGACCAACCATGTGAATTTAGTGTTGAGTGTCTTCCTGATACTGTCTCCCAAGCCAACCACACATGGGGAAAGTCCCTGGATGGTGTACCACCTTGCAGGGAAATAATCTATTTTACTCTTTAGACTTAGGGCACAAATATTTAAGGGTGAAATTTCATGCTATATCTTTTTTTTTAAGCAAAAAGATCATGGCACCCTGTAATTAAAACTGTAAAATGCTATCTACAAGCCATGAGGCAGATAGCTGGTATCATTACAAAGTTCCAAGGCCAGCTCACTGGTCACTCTTGTCACTCCCTTGGAATAACTCTTTCAGCCTTCACATTTGAACTAGTTTTGTAACTCAAGGCCAGCAAAGTGGATTCAGCAACTGACATACTTGGAGAACTGACTTTGTGAAGAGCAGTATTGTTCAAAGTGAGAGTGCAGCCTCCCTTCATTGTCCCAAGTGGAAGTGCATTCATCACACTGCCAGACAAGAACTTGAGGGGGAAGATACCTGAAGGGATTCTGCTTAGGAAAGAACACACCCTCTTGCCAACTGAGTTTACAAAGCATGTTCTTCTTACCAAGAGGGTCAATTCCCCCCCCCAATCATCTTCCTCATAACTCATACCTCTTATACTCAAGAGATGTGTATTTCACCTCAGGATGTCGTATCATAAGTGGAACATGATCTATAAAGATGGGAAGTCATTTACAAGCAAGTCCTGAGGCCACATTGTGAACATTACAAAAAACCCCACAACTTAGCTTTTCATTCCTGTTATGCTAGAATAACTTGTATCAGATCCACATCATACTGATTTGAATGACTTCATTCAGTGTAAGAGTCCTTTTGAGATACACATGCTCTGTCTAAAACCACCCATCCACTCATTCATATTTTCATGAGTCCTTCTTAAGTGCCATAGTCTACTGGGGATATAAATGGCTGAGGACAAGAAAGCCCTAATCCCTGCCCTCATGGAGCTGACCTCCCAGTGAATAAATGATCCCTACTACATGCATTTCCTCTGCTAATACCCAGTCTCTCTCCTAGCAATGGGTACAAATCCTGCACACACATTCTTCCAGAAAGACTTTGAAAGGCATAACAGACTGAATAGCCTCTTGATCTGCAGGTTCATTTGCAATGAAGACTAGATGGTGTTGCTGTCCTGTATATAGAGTGGGCCTAGAACAGCCAGGCACAGAGCTTGGGCTCTGCTTGAGTACACGAAGAATGCCAATGTGGAATCAAAGAGTAGGGTCAGAATGTTCACAGTATTGGCTTCATAGCTGTTGTTGGGTTTGTTTTTGGTTGTTTGGTTTTGGTTTGGGGTTGTTTTGTTTTATTTTTTTATTTCAATGAGGAATACAAGTACAGCATGAGCTAGTGAAAGAGTTGTATTTCCTTGGGTATTGAGAACTTGTGTAATAAATTTTAGACCACCTTGCAGCCCCGTGCTGCGCAAGCCTGTGATTGCTATGGACAGCCCCCAGATCCCTGTCCACAGCAGCAACCTGATGGATCATCTGTCCATTTTATACCCATTAATCTCTTTAACCACTTCTAAACGACTGTGACCATTCAGTAATGAAGCTGTAGTAATTAATTTGTTAGTATAGTATAATCTTTAATAAATTTCGTGCCAAAATGCATGGGTTTCCACTTAGCATTCAAAATGTTAATGTAGAGAATAGTTTTCAATTTCTTATGTATTCTTCAGAGTAAGTTGGAAATCGGTTTCTACATTTTAATTTGTTTCTTGTTAATCTGTTGCACTCTCCTGAACTGTCTTTTTTTCCAGCAGACCCCTGCATGCACTTGTGTAAGGAATTTTCTCTAATTCTTGTGAATTGTCTTACCCACAATAACCACTGAACATCAGCCCTCCAGTAGGGTTCTTTAGATTTTTGGTGAAGTATTTTGTTACCTCAGTCTTGTATCAAGTTGTTGTATTTTCCAGCTTGTTACATTGATAATAATTGTTTCACTAATTAAATACTTTCATGTATAAACATTTTTGTTTACTTTGAAATTAAATGTGTTTTGCAATGAATCTTGTTGAGTTTAAGACTTTTATGCATCTACTTAGTAGACAGTTAATATGCCAAGTTAAAGCATTGGGGTGCCCAGTTCAGCTAAAAGATGATTAGGAAAAAATTATAGATAAAAGCAATGTCCTCATGAAGGGACCTAGACAGTGCTGTGGGCATTAGGCAGGAAGTGCCCAAATGTGGGGAGGCCTAAGTGAAGGGGATATTTGGAGATTCCATTTGAAGACTGCAGACACATAGGGGATAAAGGAGAAGGAAAGAGCCAAATAAGAAGAAACACGATGAAGCTGGGGAAAGCAGCCAACACAGTCTCAATGAGTAATGGGTCTAAGTCTGAAAAAGGTATGTCACAGGAGTTCAAGATAACAAGCAGAAAACTCCCACAACACCAGACACCAATTCTAGCTTGCTTAAGATGGACTATCTTACACAAGTTGCCTCCTCGAAACCTTTAGAGTCAGGAAGGAGAGATGAAAACCTCTCAGAACCAAGGCAGAGTTCTACTTTTACCCCTTCTGTCTCTCTCTGTCTTGGGCTCCCAAAGTTTCCTTTTT